TTTTTTTAGGTCCATGCTTATATCATTGCGGAATTGCGCAAACAGATGCCTTCAATGATTGGCAAAGAGAAGAAAAAGAAAGAGCTTATACAGAATCTTGATAAAATATTCGAGCAGCTGCAGGTTTCTCGCATTTTTTACTATTTCGAATTCCAGTCCTGAACGGTCTAAAAGTCACACAACTTGAAATTTAAGGATTTCATATCTGCCTCTGTTCCACTTCTCCTCAATGCTTATGCTTATGTATCCTGCCCGATTATCTAAAGTGACTTCTGAGAACATATTTCTCTGACCAGGTACGAAGGTTTACAAGAACCTTCAGACATCTGTTAGCTTTGAGGCAACTCTCCAGCCGCGTAATTTTGCAGGACAACATGCAGTAATTGATGGAGACCCTTAGCGTCAAAATAAGCCGCAACACATGTTAATTACGAATATGCACTGGGCTCACTTATGTTAACTTTCTGCAGTTTTTCATCGATTGAAAAATTATGAAGTGAAGTACGGGACCGATTACGTATTTTAGCGTGAACATACCATATCAGCTGGCGATTTTCCGGACATAAACAAAATGCGCGAGCGTTTACCGGATTATGATTTTACAAAATTCAACCCAATTAAACCAAAACTATTGGACGTCGTTAATGGGATGCTTGCTTCGGATATTGGTCAGCACTTCAGATATCATTTTCTTTTTTAGAAGGTCGATTTCATAAAGTAATAGGAGAGAGGAAAATAGGAAATGGCCTTCCAGTAATGAGGAGACATATCTTAATTTTGAAATCTCGGACCAAATTTGGTCTTCTGGCTAAAACAGTGCATCAATTGTCAAGAACGACATTTTCTTGTAGTTAGAAATAGATATAAGCGAATAAAAATGAAATAAAAGGGGGTCATTGTTTAAAACGATTGAAAAACTTTAGCTCGACTGATGGCGCAAATCCCGAAGGAAGAGAATGCACCAATAACGAACGGCTTGGCACAGTCCCATCAAACTGAAGTGAGTTTTTTGTCTGCTCTTTCATTCGGTTTTGACGTTTCATGAAACTGTTTTACTGAGTTAGAGAAATATTTTCATGCATTCCGTCCCAATAACATCGGGTGTTCCGCTCTGACCGTCTGTGGATTCATTTCCGAGAAGAAACTGTGCGCTCATCTGAGACCTGCTACAAAAACAGGCAGAGTTTCTCGTTTTAATTGCAGACTGGCATTAACTTGCCTAATTCATCTTTAAAATTCAAGCTGTTTTGGGCTTTCCAGTCAGATATTGGCAGAGAGAGTTATCAGCAACTTTGTCAGTGCCTGTTACTGTTAATAAGAATCCTGTCATTTTTGAGGTAAAGAGAACTTAGGAGTTAGTCTTAGAAAATGCTAGTATATGTTGTACTTCGCAACCGTCTGTGAAATCTCCCAGGTTTCCTCCTTC